TGAAGATCTTTCATGGTAGGGCAGAGGTCTGATCTTTTGGACAGTGGAGAGTTCTAAAGTTTCGCAAGTCGTGTGAAGTCTGGATCCATCTCCAAATTCTCATTAAATACTTAGGTGTTTGAACCATTCTTATTAGCTCAGGCACAACTTTCAAAAGGATGATATGCCCTTTGCCAGGCTACTCAGAAAAATTCTTGATCTTGAGTATTGCTGTAATAGTCAGTTTTCAGTCTAGAATTCCGGCTATGAAGGGTTTCTGACCTTAGTTTCATCAGTGTAGCATCAGTCAACAGAGATACATTTTATATAGGAGGTAATAACTGTTCTTACTAATAACAGCATGGAAAAGAGTATCTGCTCAGTAAGAGACCACCTGAACATCTTTTAATAATACCATATTTATATATTTTTTTTCTTTTTTCTTACTCAGACCTCACCGCCATCTATTTAAGGCAATTAAAACTCCTTGTAACTTCAGTGAGATCTGGGCCATTAGTTTCTCCGTGATATGAGAAGCATATATGCTAGCACCAGGAATTGTATAGAGAATGGAAGAGTTGGGCACAATATTCCTTCCTCTGTTGCACAAATATTTGTGAAATAGATTGTTTTTTTCCTGAATGGGAGAGTGAGAAGACCAGAACTGAGAGCCTGGGAGCATGAGCTGAGTAGAACCCAACACCTCTTCACCCACCAAATGCTTTATTGCATGGGCATTCTGCAGTGGAAAATCATTCCACCAGAGCATTTCAACTGCCCAAGCTGAATTCTTGTGTTGCAATCCAGTGCAAGGTGTATTGTATTATACACCTGCTTCTGTCTTTACATGTACGATAAGTATCAAGTGAACAGAGAATGAACACACTCAACGCTGCAAGGCTGAGTCTCTAAGAGTATCTACACTACAGAGTGCAGCATGTTACCTCGACTAGCTCAGTTACTAGAAGGAATTGAGAAAAGGTAGAACTGAGCTCATTGCCGGCACGTTTTCCTTGCCTCTTAAGCAAGTGTTGCAGTGCCCTGAAGTCCACACTGCCCCTAACTAGGCTGCTTCCAGGATCTGGAATAGCTACTTCAAAGATACAGGTATTACCAAGTCGTGCTGCACTCTACTGTGTGGACACAGCCCCATTTAATTTTAGGTGATGTTCTCAAACCACTGTTCTGAGATACCTGATCTGGTCCATCTTTGTATTTAGTCCAGCTATGCATACAGGTACCCCCTGGCATTTTGTCATGATTTTGACATGTAAAGAACAACCAAAAGTACATCACAGAAGAGGTTTGAGTTTGATACAGAAAAATCATAGTGCCAAAAGAGCTTAAACTTAAACGTGTTGCTAATCATGAACGTTCTTGGAAGCCAGTGTGTTTAGTTGGGGCAGCAAGCTTTATAAATACTAGAGCCAAATGGGCTGATTCATACATCAGTGGAGCCTTATCTGCTGAAAAATCAAACCAGCAAGTGGAATATGGAAACCTTTTCTACTAAATCTTGCAATTGTGCATTTTTGTTTCTGATGTAAGGTTTCTCCCTCTTAGTTTTACATATTCCAGAGTGTACTCAAAGATTGTAGATCTTTAACTAGACTCTAAATGCTTTGATTCATCGTTCCATGTAGAAATGATACAATCTGCAATAAATATTCCATTTATAAAGGCACTGTCCATAGTAGTGCCATAAAAAACAGCTGCAGCTAAATGCTTGAAGAACTTGTACAGGAAGTTCATTTTCACGACAGGAGGAAGGAAATCTGAAGTCCACTTCAGCTCAAGGGCTAATCCAGCTCTAAGAATGATGGTGAATTCTCTCCCTGACTCTATATATCCCTATACAGAGGAGAGTTCTCCTCTGACAGTTATCCTCAGGTGGAAGGAAGAAGTTCAAGCTCGGAATCATGTGATGTCTTTTTTGGGTCTCGCTAATGTGTAAGAAGAGCGAACTTGGTATTTTTGGTTACATATGTGTGATGATAAGACTAATTCAGAGAGCAAAATACTCTTCAGAGCTGCAAAAGGGAGGAATATCTAGTTCTGGATAGGACACAAGGTCTGGATTTTGCCAATGCTAGAAAGAACAGGTGTCAAAGGAAAAAAAAAGAAAAGGAGAAAAAGTTAGCAGTGAATCTGTGGTAGAAGCTGGTAGGACTGAACCACTGGTGAAAAGTAGAAGATGCTTCATAACATATGTCCAACAACTACTTAAGATTCATAGTGGCTGGTGCCAGGGAGACAGGATACAAACACTGCATCTCTTTGTGTCAGCAAGTCCAGTGTCACTATGGATGCAGGAGGCATTAATTCCAAGGGGAGAGCACTGCCAACTTTTCTCAAAGGAATCCCTTCAACAGCTCCTCCACTTAGGTAGCTATGAAGTTCACTTTCCAATGAAAGTGGCTGTCTCCTGGCATTACCTCTGCTTCATTAAATAAGGAGACAGTTATTTGGGCAGTTGCACTCTACGAGACCTGCAGAAAGGCTGGAGGAAGAGCCCAAAGGGCCTGTGACTGCAACTACGCACTTCTGAAATGCAGCTTGAGAAACTGAGGGGAAACATACGTGACAGGGTATAATGAGCATTTATGAGAGTAATTCGAATGGATGGCTGATGGCCAGAACTCTGGCACGTGCCATTAAAAAATAACCAGAGAAGTGAATTTCCTGCATATCACAGGATGCTGCACAAAAGACATTGTATGCAGACGCAGAGGAACAGAAAGCTGGCATAAGACGTGCAAGAATGCTTGAGATTCCTATGCAGATCGGGCATGAACATTACTGAACACCACTGAAGGCAGAACACCAAGTATGATAGGCATAATCACTGCAGAAAGTAGAATACAAATAACCTCTGAAACCACAGGAGATTCCAGGTCCTCTTTTGCCCAACATTGGTGCAGATCCATCTGAATTACAGATTCAGTTAGAGAAAAACAAACCTCTCACTTAAATGAGATTTTACCCAGCTAGCAACTTAATGGCCCACCATATGTAGCAGAGAGACTACAGACAGACTCTAGGAGCACTTAAGAGAAGATAAGGGATCTTCAGGAATGGCTCATTCTCTGGAGTTATCAGTTTAAACACACAGTGCAAAATTCTAGCTGAAGACTGTGAACAGCAAGAACTTAATTTGCTAAGAAGGACTTGAGAGTTTACAGGCAGCCTTGCTCTTCCTTACTAGGTCACTGTAGAATGTTTCAAAATCTTGATAGGTGTCACAACATTTACAGCCTCGTGAACAGAAAAGAGCCAGAAAGTTCCCTGCCAAAGAGCACTAAGCCAAAACAGTCAATCTAAAAGCATTTAAGTTTCTATACTAAATACTATGCAGAGATATTAAAAAAAAAAAGAAAAAAAAGTTCCTGGCCCCAAACACCAACTACATACTAAGAGTGGGATTTCTGTGATTTAGCTTAAGCTGCCAAAAAAGCAAGCATCTAGCCTAAGCCATTTGCCTGTGGTCCCTCAATGATCAGCGGAGAGAGACAGACATCTCCAAGGAAAAATTCTTCTCTTTCTGGGTAACAAGATGAATCACCCTCTGGGGACAACACATTTCCAACAGCTACAAGGGGTATCTAAGTGATTCCCTTGTCACTGAAGTTTAGATTAGCTGGAAAAACAGACCAGATTTTGGGCAGAGCAGCACAGCACTCCTTTTGATCTGAAAAGACAAGGGGTTCATGTTCTTAGCATCCTACTCCTTAATCTACCAGTTGGTCAAATAAAGCAAACTTACTTTCCTATGTATTAGACCATCATGGGTAAAACTCCACTGTCAAGTAGACACCAGAGTGTTAGATCTCAAGTTGAATGGGATGAATCTCAACACAGGACACAAGAGTGGCATCGTGGCATCAGATGAGGTATGTGCTTGAAATGCTTGTTCCTTATTGCTCACAAAAAAAGGACTCTAGATAACTAGATCAGATATTGATGCGCTCATCAGATAGGCAGATGTGTCTAATTGTCAGGACAGATGTATCCAACCAAAAATTGTCAGGTGGGTGCCATTTGTTCTCCAAGGAATCCCAGCTGAACAGCAAACTGACTCGTGGACTCACGTCCCTCCACCACCGCATAGTGCCTCCTGCCCACAGGTTTTTGGCCAAGGAACAGCTGTTTTCCTCAAACAATGAAACTCTCTGGAGAAAGTCACATAAAACTCCTTTCTATGATGCTGCATGAATACTCTTTTATAAGTGGAAAGGAAGGGTGCCACTAAGACAGACATTTAGGGAAAAGCTCCAGTCAAATCTACCAGCCATTAGGCCATGTCGGGAATGTTGTAACAGCCTCGTGAAAGATCCTGCTTAGTCTCTTTCATACAGTGGCTCTTAATAATCAGCATATAATAAAGGTACAGTCTGGAGGAATTTATTATACAGTATCCAATTGGATTTATATAGTCATAAACTTCTACAGCACTGCTTGTATGATTTACAACAGTCTCTACTAATTATGAAGTTATGCCTGGATTTGAGATGTAAAAGGAAAATGTTACCAGACTGGTTGTGGAGTGATACTATACAAATGCACGTTTGCCACAGCAATTTTGAATTGCTTGTTAACAGAGAACCACTGCAAATAACTGTGTATTTTAGCCTGCTCTTTGGAAAAGCACCAAAAGCAGAAACCTGGGAAGTTTGCGGGATGGGGTGTCATTGTGATGGAGTTTAGAGTTAAGGGAAGGAGTGTGGAGCAGATAGTCCATGGATCCCATCAATGAAACTTCTACTTCCACCTGCCTGGATCGCAGGCGACTGGACTTGGTAGTTTGCCTGATCCCTTCCCAGATCTAAACTTCTGCTTTTCTAAAGCAAAACCACTGTAGAAAATACTGTAACTTACTGTAGGACAAACACCTCATGACCTAAATGGCTATAGAAAGATGTTTACTGCATGGAAGTTTTCCACCACAGACGTTTAATTTTGCTGTTACTCGGCATATCAAATAACTCTTTCAGAAAGGACTGTACACCATTAATAGGAATTACCTGGGCATCGAGGGCAGCACAGCTGTGGTACATGCACAGGGGAAGGACAGTGTAGACTGGGGCACCTTATTCTGCTGCACAGTACGTTTCCATTCTGCAGGTGGAACAATAATACAGTAATTAAATGAAATAGGCTCTCTTACCAATTTCCATGTTCTCTGTTTTGCATCTAGGCATTTCAAAAACAAATGCCTTTTTACAACATTCTGATTTCACTCACAGCAGAGTAAACCCAGACTGCTTTCACTGCCTCATTTGTGCTGGAGGCCAGAATGTAGCAGACGTACACAGAAACCTTACAGTCAAAGGGAGTGCCTAAAAATGGATTGCAACAGTCTTCATGTGTGTTTTTTCTTTTGAGCAGATTATGCTTAGGATTTGTGTTTCCAAAAGTAAGACACAGATAATGAATGGTAGGTCTCTGAGCTATCCCCTACTGAGGGTTAGTTCAAGACCACAAGAGACAATAGCGTCTGTAATTGTTCCTGAAAACTGTGGAGAGTCTTTTGTTTTCATTTTATGGTTTCCCCAGTAGACAAAAAGCACCAGTTGGTACGTAGCCATTTTTCTAAGAAATACGAGCAAGTCTTGGGAATAGTGTTCATTATTCATGTCATTACCATAATATTCTATTTGACCACATCTAAGTTTGATTTATAATTAAAACACGGGGAATTTTCATTCTCCAGCGTCTGCAACCAGAAAAGACTATCCATTTCAAATTCCCATTTCCCATACATAATTCATCCTCCTAATTTAGCTCTGAGTTGCTCATGTTTGTAGCAAGAAAGATCTTTCAGCATGAACACTGATACTATGCTGTGACTGTAGTTTTAGATGCCATCAGGAGTAAACCCACTTAATTTTCATATGCCTTCTGGAGCACTGAAATGTTTCCAGTGGACTTCCTTAGATAACGTATGTCCAGGCTTTTCTAGCCATCTCTCTCAAAATAATCAACTGCCTCCTAAATATCCACAGACCACAGGCTGGAATCGTCCTGTTAGATCATCACTACCCACGGACTACATTTGCGCATCTCCTTTGGAAAGAGACACTAAAAATTATTATCACCATCTGCTCCCAATGATGACTGAAATTAAATACGCGGATTTTATAGAGGAGGAGCAAATTCGAGGCTGTAGACTCTTTGCAGGATAGGAACTATTACTGGTCTGCACAGCTCCTGGCCCAGCAGATCATCATCGGAGAGCCCTTAAAGCACTACTGTGGAAGAAAGGCTGGCACTGCCTGCTGGCCTGGCTCCATGGTGCTTCCCTGACCTGTTCCATGGCCTCACTCCCCTTTTCATTGTGAAGTCCCCCGAGGTGAATCTTTATTTTCTGCGCATCATCGGCTATGAACAAATTTCTGCAGGCCTGCTTTGCTCCTCAGTGCTGCAGCAGGACAGAACTATTTTTAACTGATGCTGGCTAAGATTGCTCTTAAGCTTAGGTTCTTATGCTTAGATGGTTGGGAGACCAAGCCCTGCTGACTAGAATAAGGCTTAAGCTCCCGTAAACCTCTGTGAGTCAGGGTTAACGTCTCTGCATCAGACACCCAAAGAGTAACAAAGCATCTCTCTTCCTCAGCTGCGTTACCAGTGCGGAGCGTGGGGAGTGTTCACTTTAGCCTCTGAGGTCTGCAGATCTGACGAGGAGTGCAAGCAAAAAGCTGCTGTGTTTTAGAGAGTAAAATAATGATCTGACAAATGGCAAGTGCTCCAGTTCACTGGACAGTAACAGTCAACAGTCTCTCCACTGTGTATTGGCGGGGGGGAGGAGGGGTTGTAAAAGAGCAGGGGGAACAGGGTGAGAACACTCAGTTATGTTTAGATTTATTCTGGTTTAAGTGTGTAAATTGTAACTTGTAAAAATACACAATATACATGCACAAAACTAGGAAGGCTTTTTGTTTGTGGTTTTTTTTTTCTTTTAATCCCAGGCTGAATAATTTGGCCTCTGTTTAGTTAGTTAATTTGTCTCGCATTTTTCTTAAACATCAGAAGTGTGTGTGTGCTGGGGGGAACGGACAGACTGCCTGTTGTTTCTGGACGGAGCAGAGATCTCGCTCTGCTCTCTGGCTGCTACGACTTGTTTTGTGCAGACATCATTCGGATCATGATATCTGAAGCCAGCAAAGAACTTTTGGTCACACTAGTGATGAAGACCCCTGGGGATTTTTTTTTTTGCTTTTTTCTGCACTGAGAGGGAGTAAATTGCTGCTTTGGATTCTGTAGCTATCCTTTGCCTAACTGATTTACTGCCAGAGAACTGCAGGTGCGTTACACGTAGGTTCCTCTTATTTGCTGTTTGTGGCATGCTTCAGGTTCACAGTTTATGCTATAATATTTGGTGCTCATGCTATGTCATGGTGTGTTTACTACTGTTTTATCTAGCCTTAATTTTGTTAAAATTGGAAGAGTTTCCTGATGATCTGGAGCTTTTACTGTAGGTCGGTGTTCTGAGGGCATTTCTTTTGGCCACGACAAAGCTCAAAGGAATGGCTGGACGCTGCAGTTTTTACTTGGAGTCCTCCACCCAGGCAACAAGAGTTACATCCCAAAGATCCCTCAGCATCCTCAAACCCCAAGTTCCATTTTGCACCCTCAGGGTACAACAAACGTAAAACAGAGTAAACAAGGTAGTAGAATCCTGAACCATTTGTGAACTGCACGTACTGATAATTAGCACAAGCTATTCCTTCTTAGTACTAACTTTGTTGCCCTGAACTGTCACTCTGGTCTTCCATGCCCACCTGGGAAGGAAAGAAATAAAATATACTCATTGCTGGAGCCTCACAGTGCATGGGCAGTCCTAAATCACAGCAGTGCTCTTCTCTAGAGGAGCATTCCCTGCACTTTCCCATCTCTCCAGACTAACATATTCCTAAAAATCATTGAGCACTGATTTGTATCCAGATCTCTAGAGTTCCCAGTGAATTTCATTCCCACCCAAGACAGCGTTCCAGCAACTCGATGAGTGTTTTACCACACAAAGACACTCAGGGAATTTTCATCCAGATTAGCAGAAGTGAGTGGAAACTCCTTTTTGCTATAATCAGGGACTTCTCCCTTTCCTCTTACAACATTGCTTTTTCTCTTACAGATGCATTCTGCTGCACAGATCTGAGATAAAGCCAAACTTGTGGGACTACTGTTCATGCATCTCTGCACTAAATTGTAGTAGCAGATCCCTCAGAGCATATACTGCACAGGGGCCCAATATTTTACACTTGCAGAGGGAAAATAGCCAAGAAAACTTTCTTCTGTATTAAATACAGCACACAAAACTCAGCATCTGGACAGCCTCATGTGTTAGTGATTAAGATCCCTCATTGTTTAGTCATTTTAAAGTACTCCAAGGGACATATTCCACCCTCATTCCCCCGCCTGTATATGACATGCTGTGTGTGACATACTTAAGGGATCTACGTCTGCTGTGTCCTCCTATCAGGCATCAACTGATGGTAGTCGAGGACCTGTCCTTTCACATCCTACCCAATTCTCTCTGCTCCCCGTATACTCTCTCATTTTTCATCACCTCATTCTTCTTTAACAGATTTTTACAAAGAGTGATATCCAAGCCTGTTCCTTCAGCGCTTAAGGGCATCACATGCTCTGACTGTGGAAATGCCTCTGAAGACGTGGGCACTGTACATAGGGCAAAAGACTTCCAAATTGAGGTTCAGCATAATCCTCCACACTGACGGAAGTGAAAGGATTACATTTAGTTTATGGGGTTCTAATTATTCAAGATGTAATGCCCAGCATCGACAAAACTTCTGGCTAGTTAAGGAGCTGTTTTGTCTACCTCATACAAGTGATTTTTTGCTAGTACTGGCTTTCTCTTCTCATGTTTTCCTTTCCCTAAGATCACCCACAGCTACTTCCTGCAGCGTGATTGGGACCCACTAGTGAAAACAGGCTTGGCCTTTGTCAAACTGTAAATACAACAGAAAGGATTCGGGTCAATTAAACAAGTAAAAGTTGCAGGATCAATAACTCAGTGGTCTTACCTCTGAGCAAAGACAATTAACGCAGTAAACAAGGCCATAGGGTTCTAGATAAGGATGCCATCGTTCTCCTACACGGTACTTCTTATCTTGAAACACGCAGTATGTATCTGAATCTGTGAAACAGGAAAGAATTGAAAGAGCTGTGAATGAATGTTCCCATTCTGCGCTTACAAAGTGTTTTTCGGTGTGCAGCGTCTTCTGTGAACTATGTGAATGGTACGTAAAATTTCGTAAAGATTTCTCTTGCCCTGGAGAAGCACACAATGAAAATGCCCTTAATATCACGTGCTGTTGTTTTTAACCTCGAAAACCAAAATAAATGGCACAGCTTCCCATCTTCCCAAAATTGCAGCTCCTGAAAGAGCTGACAAAATAGCTTTCATACAGGATGAGTTTATCCTTTCACCTGCAAAAAAACAGGCTATGGTCCTGTTCAGGCAAGAAAATAGAAGCGCTTGATTGTTTAGAGACTTTTATAGGAAATAAAACTGTTTCACTGCAAAACCAAAGCAACTGGATCAACTTGGGAAGATCCCAGGTTGTACAGCAGAGAGGTTCTGAACAAGGGGACGGCACCTACACTGCAGGTTCAGGATTTTGTGTGGATTTACATACGCATCAGCATTCAAAATATTTTAAGATCTTTCTGTTCATTAAGCACTTCTAATCTTGCAGGTGCAGTTTTGCAGATATCCGTCCACTCATCAGACACTACTGCTCTGTCTCTCCCCGTCACGTTATGGTTTCACATTGAAAACTCAAATCTCTTCAATAAAAGCATGTTTCTTGTATTTCCATGGAAGAATCCCTTCCTCCAAATTCAGCTTAATTCACTACCCCTAGTATAGATACTTCAGGGTATCGAGCAAAATATCTGTCTTCCAAGCAATAATCCAAGCAAAGGACATTCTTCACTTTTACTGGGCTAAAAGAAGGTAGCAAGAGGTAGGGGTTATTAGTAGCAACTGTGAAATGATCTGGTTTCACTTCACACAGGAGCAAGACAAATGAAATGCAGGATCTAAAAAAGCAGACGGCTGAAGTGGGGTCTGATAATTTCTCACACTGTGCTTGCTTTGAGCGGGGACACCTGCACATTGTTTTCTTCCAAGTTCAGCGGAGTAGGTGGCCTTTTTGGAACCTACTCTTATTTTTTTTTCCCTCCCCTTTCTTTTTTGCATCTACTTCTTTAGAAACAGAAGCCGCTGATACCGAGGCTGGAAATTTTAACTACTTTTCAAGGGCAAACAATGTATTTTGTGAGAAGGCGGCTAAAATCCAGCCTGTGCAGGTGGGGAGAGCATTCCAGAGAGCTAGTAGCAAAGCTGCAGCAGTCAAAAACTCCTAGACTTATTTGGGTAGTTATTCCTCCTGGCTATGCCTTCTGAAATGTGTTACAGTCTCCCACAGATGACAGGCTTTGTAGAAATATTCCCTTTGTTTTGTTTGTATTCTTTTCAATTTTTCTCATCAAGTTTTTGACAGTGCTTAGACTCTTAATTTTCTCCAAGGATGTATCTAATCCAGTTCATATGAGGTTGTTTTTGGAACACAACAGAACAGTTTTGGATGAGCTTCATGCGAGCTGAAAACATCAGTACAATAGTCTTACGCGTGGGACCGCATCCAGATAATCCGTCAGATGTTTATAGAGGTCACTAAAATGGAATTAAGCATTCTCTCGATTCAGGATATTTGAAATAAAACAGATTCTCCAATTGATGTGTTATGTTCTTTATGATGCAACGAAACCTGTGCGGCTTTAGGAGAATGTGCCCCAACCTTGGGTGTGACCTGACTCTACTAAATGTGGGATTAGAAGGAGGAGGAATGTCAGAAGTTTTTGAATGCAGTTCCACAGCTCAGGACGTTCTTGTTTGAAGACCTTTTCTGAACCACATCTGTCAAATAGAAGGAAAATGTAAAATCTGGGTGGATGCGACAGCTCTGCTTGAAGTCTACTTACGTTTTACTTGTTCTAGTTTACCTCCATCTATGAAAAGGAGACAGAGCACACCAAAAAAGATAAAATGAAGATCTTCCAATATCCACTTCCTTCTCATCTTTATCGACAAAAGGAAAAGAAAGAGCCTCCAAAGTAGGGAATGTTGAGCTGTTGGGAAGAAAAGATTAAATAAATTAGACCAATAAGATACTTCAATTCTCCCACAATTTCATCCAGCACCCAGAAATCTTAAACTGACAGAACAAAAAAAAGGAAATCTATCTCATGGATCTTCATTTTATGGAAACAGCTTTGGCTTTGGGTCATTTCATTTTTGGGAAAGGGGCCACATTCCCATTCATGAAAGCTGAAAACTTTATTACTTCTAATAAAGTCCTTACTTTATTCCAAAGCAGAGAAATCTGGCAAGTAAGCAATCCGAATAATAAAAGTTCTCTTGTGCGAGAAACTAGTTTGGGATCTGTTCTTGCAGAGCAGCTCTTTCGGATGTAACTCAGGAAATACAGGTGTCACTTGGTAACGTGTTTACTTCATCCTAAAATTAACCTTGGAGGTTCCGGGTGCGCTGGCCCTGCACCATGGAAATCCACGCTGAGGGCGAAACACCAGCCATGCTGTAGTCAGCGGAGTTTTCCTGACTGCATCTAACAGGCTTCTGCCACTATTCAACTCACCCCTCCTCCCCTCTCCCAACTACTATTGTTCTGGGATTGTGTATAATTAATTTTTCTAGAGTTAACCCTTCCGTTGCCTTGAGATCCGCAAGCAGAATGGGGGAACAACGTGTCACCTTGTGGATTTTTAATGTCAGCATCTTGCATGTGGAGCAGAGCTTAATGCATTCTTCTCTGTGTGGTGCAGAGATGGTATTGCACTTGCTGCACGTATCTTTTTCTGGCTTTTGAAAGGTGAATTATTTTTAAAAGAAGTAAACAAGGGAGAAAATAATTACCTAAAGTAGGTTCTATTTATTTCTGATAGCCAACCTAACATTCAAAATTAGTATGTCGGCGCTTTACTGTTTATCAGAATTCACTGCAAAAGTATTATCTTCCCAGAGTACACTTGTCTGGAATTTACAATGTTGGAAAGATTTGGGTTTGATTTTAAGAGCCTTGATGTGGATTCATAATTAGTTCTACAGAAGTTCAAAAAGAAAACAGATTCACTGTTGGAAAAATAAGCAGTCTGCTTTGTAAACTAATTCGACCTTTTCAGATTTCATGTATATAACAGAACTGTACATAACTATGTTTCAGCTCACAGATAACTGAAGCAGAAGTACTAGTTTATATATATGTGTATTTAAAATGAAGTGGTGGATAACTTAGAGAAATTAATTGAACAGTAAGTTAACAAGCTTAAAGTAATTTAACTTAAAATGTTCCTATTAAGACTGTTGAGATCTTGGATGCTGTAACAAAGGGCGGGTGATCTGATTTGGTCAAGAGTGTTTTTATTGCCTTTACTGTTTAAGAGTTCTCTACTCTATTCTCCCAAATCGCAGCCGAAATGGACATCTTCCTTAAGTCATCAAATCCATGCAGCTACTCTGTCTATACTCAATAAGCTCATTCAAAATAACGCAAAATGCATCTGAAAACATTTTCAAAAAATAACGCTACTTTAAAAGCACACTCCCTATGCAGTAACAAAATACAACTTTCCATTTATTTTGGAAGCTGAGAATAATATTCCAATCTCAGAAGAAAAGTTCAAGTCATTTTTTCCTTTCAACGTGCTCAAATCACACAGGACATTCGCAAGCCAAACAACCTTTTAAAAACTTGGTTTTAGATTAAAACCTTGTAATTATGTCCCAGGACATCATGCGTGCACTGAGAACAACAGTAGCACATCCCTAGGACTAGCAGAAATGTGAACGTTTAAATATTTTGGCCTTCTTGGGGGTTGCTTAAGCAAACGATATTTATAAATGGAGCACAATTATCCTTTGTGCGGCACTTTACCTGTTAGCTAGATTAGTTAGTTCGAATAGAAGGGCTCAGAAATCCCATCCATTTTAAATGTCAGGTCTTCAAAAGGAAGAACATTTTAAAACTTGCACGGCTTACGCTCAGAAAGGCTGCACAGGGATGTGAAATGGAGGAGTTAATAACAGAAACGGGACGGAGACTTTTGATGTCTTTCTTAATTCTCTTTAATTTCGGTATTGTTGTTACTCCAAATATAAACACATACTTTTCACTATTAGCACACTCCCTTTATTTCCCCAAAGGGCAACGTCCTAAAAATATTCCTGGATTTAAATAATCTCAGCTAGGATTAACCTGTTAATTATTGGTGTGTTTTCTGCTTAGCAGAAACAATGAAAGCGATCCACTTCTTCCATGAATTAGTCCCTGGAAGCGGGCTCATGCCTCTTTGCACCGCCTCGCCCTGCCCGCAGCCCGCTTTAGCAGCTACGAGCGGCAGCGTCCGGCCTCGCCGCGTTTTACGAATAATGCAAATAAAAAATAAAATAAAAATTAAGTAAAAGCAAGAGCTGGAAGCAACGTGCGGTGTTGCCATCCCTCG